TTTGAAGTTTTTTGTTTTTATTACAATGATTGTGTGTGGAGAGTGCAAGTGTCATAGCTGGTTGAACTGAGGCCCATGGCAGCGAGCGTCTTCCTACACAGAACCACGTCACCAGCCCTGAAAAAGTATTTTCCAGGAGTCCTTAGGAGGACTGAAGCTCAAGGCCAGTCTTAGCTGCACAGAAAGCTGGAGGCTACTTAACCCCTCCCCTCAAACAAAACAACACAGAAAAGATGGAGAGAAAGTACTCAAGGTTCTTGTCCACCAGTCAGAAAACAAATCAAAGGCCATCTTAAAGTACCTACAGTGTCCACACAGCTCGGCTGCTGTCCCATCACGTAATTTCTTTGGAATAAACAGAGATAATGATCATGTTTCCATTTCCCCGTTTTTTGTTTTTTTCCAACCTCATCTCCTGATACAATTTGTTCAGCTCCTAGGAAGTTTTTACTGAGGAATTTTTTTTTTTTTTTTGAGTGGGGTGGGAGACTTACATTTGAAAGGCACCAGATCTGATAAAGGAGCCAAAATATTAAGTCCATTATTTTTGGTGGCAGCCGTTTATTTTCTGGCTACTTCCTGTTTGGTCTTAAAATAGCCCCGCACGAGGGGCTCAGGACATGAACAACCTTCCTATCAAACCAGCTTTGAACCTGGTGTTCTATCTCGCAGGAGTCTGACCTTCAGTGCTAAACCGCTGCTTGGCGGGGGCAGTTTGGTCCCTTGAGTCTATGTATCTACTGAACCATCATCCAAGTGACCTCACACCATCGGCATGTGAATATCAGAAATTTTTCCAGTTTGGTTTTTTTTTTTAATATTTTAAAAAATTAATTTAGTTATTCACTTTACATCCTGATTGCAGCCATGCCCTCCCCTCCCAGTCACTCAGTTTCCTCCCATGAAGCTGTCATCTTTCTCTAGTCTTTTCACAGGAATCCCAAGAAGGACTTGGGCAGAACACCTGGCTGATAAGCCTTAAAAGGCTCAAGGTTGGGGCTGGAGGGCTGACCAGGATTAAGAGCCCTGGAGGCTCTTGCCGAGGACCCAGCTTCAGTTCCCAGTACTAAGATGGGGCCTTGGGACAGTTAGTAACTCCGGCACCCTCTTCTGGCCTCAGCGGGCACTGCACACACAGGGCAACGACACCTGGAGGCCAAACACCCACACAAAATTAACAAACCAACAAACAAAGGCCCCAAGGTCTAAAGGAAGAAGGGCCTGAGAATTTGAGAACTTCCAGGGCTCATGGGAGGGAAGGAAACAGGGTTAAAGGACCACAGGGGTCTGAGGGAAAGTGGAGGCGGCTTTTAAAAGGAACTTTTATTTGCCTGGTTAAATGGAAGCTTCTAGCCTCCGGCCAATCTAATGTAGGCCTAGAACGTTTTTTTATCTCTGAGACTTACTGCTGAATAAGCTCACACTTTCTTGTTCTTACTGTTCCCATAGCTGTCTGGTTCCACACAAGTGTTCTGGCTCAAACTCCTCTTGCAGCTGAGCTTATTCAATCTGTTTTTTTGCTCAGCCTCTGAAATGCTCTGCTTGCCCTCAAACTAACTCCAGCTACCTGCTCTAATCTCCTGGCTCCTCATTCTCTGGCTCATTTGGTCTTCACCGGAGTTCTTTCTCTGCAACCTGACTCTCTATTACTGTCCCAGTAAAACTGCCCTACTTCTCTCTACATGGCCCCTTAAGTAGCTTCCCTTTCCTCTCTTTTTGTGAGAGTTGGGTGTATCGTATTGTCAAATCTTTCTCTGATTCGTCACTACCTCTGCCACTCAATTTAACACCATTTTCAAACAGGGGTGCTTCCTTTACAAACTAACTCTACTTTCATTGCCTGGGATTAAAGGAACCTGGACCTTAAAGCCTGGACCTAAGCTTTCCTTTATCTGAAACTTGCTCTACACCAGGCTGGTCTTGAACTCAGATCTGCTGGCCTCTGTCTCCTGGATTAAAGGTTTGTTCGTATTCCAGCCAGATCACACAGACGAGAAGATCTTTGGACGTGATTTCTTGCCAGAGCAGCATGTTCTGAATTAACATTCCTCTACAGCAGCTGGCTGGGAAACTGCTGAACACATGAGTAAGGGCCTCTGGAACTCTTTGTCTCTCTGTGGTTCTAAGTCTAAGCTAATCCTTAGAAAAGTGAAGGGCTGGTGAGATGGCTCACGGGTAGGCACACCTTCTGCCAAGTCAGATTGTCTGACCTGTGTAAACTGGTAGATGCAGAAACAGTCACCTCAAAGGGGAAAAGGGAGTTTATTCTGGAGCCAAATAAGAACTACACAGACTTAAGACACCTCAAATTCCATGTTTCAAGATGGAAGCAGTTTTGTGAAGTTTTTACAGTAACAAAATAAAGTCACAACCAAAGGTTTTTCTTTCTGTCCTTTTTTCCCTCAAGGGCTTTTCAAATGCATTTACAGTTACAGCAACCTGGAGAGCACTCAGCTTGATGCTGCCTGATGGCTCCCGGCTTTTCTGCTGACAGAAGTTATGGAGGTTTCAGGTGTTTTTGTTTTTTCCTGAAGCTGGTATACATCCCATGGCTAAGGGGCTAAAGCTAGCCCAAGATAAATTGTAGCTGGGCTCTGGACCTGCAACCTTCCAACACCTCCACATCCCTGCAGCTCTCATCAGCCTCTGTGGACACAGGTTCTTCCAGGAATTCCCACAACAGCTGGATGCCTGGACCCGCACAGTGGAGAAAGCCTCCCTGCCCCACACAAAATAAATGTAAGTTTAAAATATCAAGTAAAATACGAGGCTGGAGAGAAGCCCAGGGTTAAGAGTGCATACTTCTCTTACGGAGGACTCCAATTCAATTCCCAGAATCCATGTTGGGTGGCTCCCAACAACCTGTATGTAACTCTCACTCCAGGGACTCCAACGCCTCCCTTCATCTGTCCTCCTTAGCCACTGCACACTCGTGACAGATACACATCTAAATAAAAAGTAAAGCTGAAAAAAATCTCACTTCCCCCTTTGAGACAGGGTCTTAACTATGTAGACCAGGTCTGCCTGCCTCTCTGGGGTGACAGGTGTGAGCCGATATGCTTAGTTGAGTTACTTTTTGAAATGTTTCACATCATAATGAGATTCTGGGGCTCAGACAGGTCTACACAACACTTTTTATTCTTTTTTTTTTTTCCTGGTTTTTCAAGACAGGGTTTCTCTGTGGTAGCCCTGGCTGTCCTGGAACTTGATCTGTGCACCAGGTTAGCCTCAATCTCAGACCCACCTGCCTCTGCCTCCCAAATGCTGGGATTAAAGGCGTGCACCACTACCACCTGGCTTCTTTCTCATTTTTTTTAAGTGATTTATTGCCAGGTGGTGGTGTTTGACTTTAATCCTAGCACTGAGGAGGCAGAAGCAGGGGGATCTATGGGAGTTTGAAGCCAGCCTGGTCTACACAGTGTACTCCAGGACAGCCAGGACTACACAGAAAAACCCCGTCTTGAAAAAAAAAAAAAAGGTTATTTTCGTTTTTGTGATTTATTTTTACTTTGTGTGTTGAGTGTTTGCATGAATATATGTACGTGTAACACATAAGTGCTTCAGGCCTTTGAAGTCAAAAGAGGGTAGGAGATCCCTTGGAGCTGGAGAGGAGTGCACCATGTCCTCTGCAGGAGTAGCCAGCGCTCTTAGCCACTGAACCATCTCTCCAGCCCCTGCTTTATTTATTTTGCAACAGTCTGGCTATGTAGCCCTGGTGGCCTTGAAATCACTATGTAGACCAGGTTGATCCAAAGTCTGCCTGCCTGTGCCTCTGCTTCCCCAGCACTGTGATCAAAGGCAAGCACCACATCTGGCAAGATTATTTAAAAATGTATTATATGTGTGGGTGGGAGGCCAAAGAGGGAACTGGATCCCTTGGAACTGTCTGCTGTGGGTGCTGGGAATGAAACTTGGGTCCTCTCCAAGAACAGCAAGCATCTCCCTAGCTCCCAACTCCAGCCCCAAGTTAGATTCTAAGCACACAAAATAAAATGTCAGCTCTAGGGAAACACAAGGGTATCTCCAGCCAAGGCCAGAGGCTGTTTACCCAGGTCAGCACACCACAGGATTTTCGTGGCCTCAGCATGACTATGTGAGTTCCATGTCTTGTCTGCACTCAGAAAGCAGCATATCCTGGAGCGTTTCTGATTTCGGGTGTCTAACATTCGTCACCTTCACTGAGACAGGTCTTTCTATGTAGCCCTGGCTGACTTGGAACTCATTATGTAGATCAGGCTGGCCAGCTGCCCTTGCCTCCATCCTGAGTAGTGGGGAGACAGGGAGACCTGTCTTTTAAAACCATTTCCCCCCATGCACATGGAAAAGATGCATTTTAGGAAAAAAAACAAAAACAAAACCCCAAAAAACTCAACTGGCTTCTCTGTGGCTGTAAGTGGCCTTCACAGCTTAACACCTCAGTAGGTGTGAGAAGATAGCTTAGGGGGTTAAGAATGCTTGATGCTGGGGTTCAGTTCCCAGCACCCACATAGTGGTTCACAACCACCTGTAATTCCTGGTCCAGGGGAGCTGGCACTTCCTTCTGACCTCCATGGGCACCAGGGATGCACAGAAATAATGCAGTCATACCCATTAAATACAAATAAAACCAATCCCACCATTATCAACAACAAAATGGCTACGTGAGACAGCTCACTAGGTAAAGGCACTTGCTGCTAAGCCTTGATGACTTGAATTCAGAGTAAGGAACACACTGGAGCAAAGAACTGACCTCTGACCTTTCACTGTGCTGAGCACCCTAGAGTCCCGGCACTCAGGCTGCATGGCTCCCAACCACCTGTAATTCCAGTTCCAAGGGATAGGTCACCCCCTTTGGTCTCTGCCAGCTCCTACATATGCATACACAACCCCCACACAAGTAAAACAGACAGTGCACCTCCTCTCCCCAACCTTGATGTGGAGGGCGAAGTCTATCTCTATAGGTTCCCTCTGCCACTCACCCATGCTCCCTAATTGAAAAAAAAGACAGTCTCATGTTTTGTATTAAAATATTTTATATTAATCATTCAAACTTCATTTTTATACAACGAATGCATACATCGTGCGTGTGTGTGTGTGTGTGTGTCCTCATGGATTCAGGGAAGGGCTGGGGCGGGGCTTGTCTACAGCCAGGAGACTGGAGGCCTCTGCCAGCCATTAAATGATCTTGAAGGTTCTAGGCCTTTTACCTACAGCTGCCCTCCTGGCCCACCTACAGGGGTGAGCCCTGTCTTCTGCCTCTGAAAAGGCCCCTGCAGCCTGAGGCCCAGTGGCCTGCTTGTCCTTGGCTGTGGCATGGCACGGCTTGAAGCTGGGCACGCTCTGAGCATGGGTGTGTACATACAGACAGCTGCAGCTTCCCCTGCTCACTAGGCTGGCATGTCAGCCTTGCTGAGGGCTATGGCCAGCTCCAGGTCCTCCTGTTCCTGTCGTCGTAGTCTCGCCAGCCGCTCCTGTTCGGCTTTCTCGCTCTCCCGCTTGGCCCAGGCCAACTGCTGCTCCTCATTGCCAAACTACAAATGAAGATTGGAACGGTGAGAGAAGGACCCAGAGTGTAGGTGGAGGGACCCTTGGGCAGGTAAAAAAAAAAAGAGGCCCATGCTGGGGCTCCTCACTTCACCCCATGTACGAAGAAGCAGGGTGCATCTGATCTGAGCTGCCAACTGGAGGACCAGGCAACAATCCCTTCGAGACAGGCAGCTGGGCCTGGTGCTGGAAAGTTCTAGCAGGCAGGTCCAACAACTCTAGGTATGTTCTACAGCCTTTTTTTAAATCTCTCATTTGAAAACAGGGTCTCCTAATGTAGCCCAGGTTGGCCTAGAACCAATCCTCCTGCCTCAGCCACCACAGCTGGCTGTCAATATTTTCATCTTCCTTAAGGCTGAAGCCGCATTTTACCTGCTACCCTTATGGTTACTCCATGACCTCTAGAAAGGCCAAGGCCCAAAAGAGCTCAATGCCTGTATAGGGACTGCAATAGTCTCCTTAATCACTGTCTCTTCCAGAGAATGCTGATATCTGTGGCATTTGAGACAAGATTCCAGCCCTCCAGAGCAGACAGACACCAGCAGAAAATGAGTGACAACTCACAACCTCCTTGGCGATCAGAGAGCAGGGTAGGGTGGTTGCTTCTTCAGCCAGGGCACTGTGCTGAAGTAACTCTGAATGATCTGTCTGTCAGCTGTCACCAGTAACTGGCAGGGACAGTGGCTTAGTGACTTTGGTAGGCTCCAGGTGGGAAAAATCAGGACCATAAAGGATCCCAGGAGAAGGTTGTGACTTCCCAGCCAGTGACAAGGACCCTACTGGAATAGGTGTGGCCTCCTGGGAAAGGGTGGAGCCCAGGAACCTCACAGGGACTTAGGCAGGGAAAAGGTTGGGGCAACAGTCTAGGCCAACGCTGGGAGGTGGGGTCCCATCACCTGTTCCTAAAGGCAGGTCACAAATCAGCTTGTCCCCTCCCTGTCTTGGGGAAGAACAAATGCAGGTGGCAATGACTGCAGGAACTGCAGCTGGGCGGCAGGATGAGGACCTCATCCTCAAAAGCCCAGACAAGCCTCCATCGTTGCGGAGCAGCAAAGCCCCTCTCATACTATACCTCATTCATCCCACACAGACCTACCTCATGCGCTTTGCAAGCACAACACACTTGGGCTGAGACAAGAATACCAGAAAAGGTATTCTCTCAGTGGTTTACTGACTAGCCCTGGTTGGAGGTGCTTGGACTGGGCCACCTCTGGTTCTCCTGGGTCACATAAGGGACAGGAGCTGAACCTGAGGTGTCTTAAGTGTCCCATAAACAGCAGCTTGAGTGCCACTTTCCTTCTGTACTATATCAGGGCCCAAAGCAGTTATGAGGAATCCACTTTTTCTCAGACACCTTCATTGAGAATGTGCTAACAAATTTTATTTCTGAAGACCCTGCTTGCAACATAAGAACAGGCTCCGGGCCCCCACCCCAGCTTGATCACTGAGACAACTGCAAAGCCCAACACAGCCAATCTGATGTCCGCCTGCATCTCAAGGAAGCCTTGCAGACAGCAGACAGCTTTTCTGCTCTTAAGGGGTGCACTCACAGATTGAGGTGGAAGGCTGTTGGCTGTTTGTTTTGTAGGGCAGGGACCTCGGCAACCCACACTGGCCCTGAATTCCCTGGGCCTCCGATGTCCTGCTAAGCAGAAGGCTTGCCAGGATGTAAAGAAAATTCTTTTTTGTTGCTTTTAAGAAAAATTCTTTCTGTGTAGCTCAGGCTTCTCTCCAACACAGAGATCCACCTGACTCTGCTTCCGAAGTGCTGGGATTAAGGGTGCTAGCTACCATGTCCTTTTTTTTTTTTTTTTTTTTTTTTTTTTGAGACATGATGGGACTTGACCAGCTGAGGATGACTTAACTCCTGATCTAATATGCCTGCACCACCAAGCCTGACTTACACAGTGCTGGGGATGGACCTTTGGTGTGCTAAGTGAGCACTGCCCACTAAGCTACAGCCACAGCCCACAAGAAACTTCCATGAACAGTGAGGAGCTCCTGAGGGAAACTGCCCAACCAAGGATAGCAGTGGCCACTCAGCTTAGGTGATCAGTTGCTGAAAGCCTAAATTCATCAGGCTGCATTCCATAGGCGATGGATGGCAGCCTTTTTTGAGTCTGTGCAGGCCCAAGGAGCAAGCCTTTAATCCCTGCAGAGGCAGGTGGATCTCTGCTGTCTACAAAGTGGATCCAGGACAGCCAGGCATCTGTTACACAGAGAAACCCTGACTTGAAAAACCAACCCTGTCTTGTGTACTGCCCCCCCCCCCCCAAAAAAAAAAAAAAGTCCTAAAGAGCCTGGAAAGCAGGTTCATCATGCAAGGTTGGTGCTTATAGCCCAGCAAACGGAGAACCCTACCAGGGTCCCCACTGGGCACCTGACATCAGAGAGGACCATGTATGCTAATAGCACCACAGGACTCCTCAAAGTATTGAAGGTTCGTACAAAAAAAGAGCACAGGGCAGGCAGGACTTGGTTTCCCACCTGGAGAGGAGGGTATTTAAATCAGAATTTAATCGAGGTACGGGGCAGTGCCTGACATCCCAGCATGCAGAAACTACAAGTTTGAGACGGGCCTGGGTGAGTCTTTTTCTCAAAACCCAAACAACAAACATAAACTTAATAAAACTGAAGCCTGTGACTGCTCTGGGACAACAGAGTCGTTAGCCCACTCACAGCTCAGAACCTGGTGTTTACGACAAAACTGTGCAGGGGATATGGGGTACTCTGCCTGTGCGGGCACAGGAAGTAAATGGCTTTTCAGAAAGGCCAGTCATTTCTCTACACTGTGGTTCAGCTTACCATCACTCATTCCTGTCTGAACAGAGCACCAGGGTCATGTGACAACAGCTGCACCCTGTTTGTTTGTTTTTTAACGGATTATTTTATTTTTGTAGCCCAGGCTAAACTGGAACTCCTGATCTTCCTGCCTTCACCTGCCTGGTGCTGAGCTAAAAGGCCATATAGAGCTGGGGATGGACCTAGGGCTTGTCATGCTAGGCATGTGCTCTGCCCACAGCCCCAGGACTGACCTTGTTGGCTAATAGTTTCCACTAGAAAATAAACCTGGTGCTATTCAAAAAACTCAAAGTGCTTTTGTCTCTGGTTCTTACCAATACACCTTTTAAAGACACACACTGCATGCACTGTCAAAAGAACTGAATGGGCTGCAGTGCAGATAGTTAAAGCGCTCCAGGGGCCAATGTATTATTACTTCTTCCCATGTATCTCAGGCTGGCCTCAACCCTGAGATCCTCCTACCTCGGCCTCCCAGTACTGGGATGAGAAATGAGTGTCACTGGGGCCAGCTCTGCCTTAAGCAATCCACGCCACAGGATAGCAGTGTCCTACAGATGTCACTAGTGGCTGGGAAGGCCCTGGGTATTTATTGTACCCTGAGACAACTGCTTTTTTTTTTTTTTTTTTTTTTTGTAATGGGAATGGAACTTTGGGTCATATGCAGGCTGTCAGTCTTATCACCATTGGGCCACACTTCAGCCCTCCAGGTCTGTTTGATATCTGTCACCCAGCAGTGTAGGATGGTGGTTCAAGGCCATTCTAGACTAAGATCAAGGCTTATTTCAAATAAACAAAAACAAATAAGTAAACAGAACAGTTATCAATGTCTCCCCTGGCAGCCCAGCAAGGAACTTTACAAAAAAACAAAGGAAAGTTGGGGAAAATGGCCTCACCCTGAAAAGTGAGATGCATATGAGAAGACAGTATCAGAGATGCTCGGAGCATGGGCTGCCCTGAGGTGAGGGAGGGTGTTGAGGATGCCCTGAAGTGGCCCGAGGCCAGCTCTACATAGACAGCAGAGAAGCACGGGTGAGAGGCCAGGCTGCTTCCAGAAGGTCCTAGCCTGGGCAAGTAGCTCTTTGAACCCTCGGAAAAGAGAAGAAGGCCCTAGGGTGATCATGGTCATTTATGCTGGATTCTTTTTCAGTGTAGCTATAAATCAAACAGAAATTAGAAAGAAAAAAAAAGAAAAAGTAGCCAAATCTCCCATTCTTTGAACATCCTGCCTGGACTCATTTGCTCCTACATCTATGATGCACTTGGGCAGAACTACCAACCCTGGCATTCAAAGACCTTTCTGGAGGCAGCAGAACCCTGATGAAATGTTCAGAGTTAGTCTTGGAAAGTGCCTGCCTGTTCCGCCTCCTAAGCCAGCCTGGTGGTGTACATCGTTAGTTTTAATACATGGGAGGCAGAGGCAGGTGGACTCTGAGTATCAGGCCAGCCTGTGCTACACAGCGAGACCATTGTCTCAAACAGAAACTCAGTGAACAGAAGAGTCTTTGAGGGACACAGATCATAAGCCACTGAGCACAGAGGCAGGCATAATACTGGGAGAAATCCCATCTCCCTGCAGTCCACTAAACTGCAGCTCTCATCCTTATCGACAACCTATTTTCCTTACAGAAGACAGTACAGAATAAATAACAAAAGTAGTAGGTAGTTGGTGGGAGGCAGCAGCATCAGGGAGAAGCAGTGTCTGTAGTTGCAGCGGGACCCCCACCCCCAAGAAGCGGCAAGCGAGGCAGGAAGGCGGCCAAGGGAGGACTCAACTTACAGAGGTGAAGTCGGCAAAGCCGGAGGAAGAGGCCTTAGGAGGTTTTGCTGAAGAGGAGGGGGCAAATGGATCTTTGCCACTAAATGGGTCCCCAAACCCCTTTTTATTTTGGAACGGGTCGCCGCTGTCAGCCCCAAGTGGCTGGAATGGATCGGGGGGCTCGGGGAAGACTGAAGAACCCAGCTGGCTTACAGGTGTACTCTGACCTGGAAAGTTTAGAGGGAAAAACAAAACAAAAACAGAGGGGAAAGAAAACAAAAACAAAAACAAAAACACAAGTTACTCACTACAACAGGCTGGGGTGCAGAGTGGGCCTGGCTGTGTCTTGGGGACAGCGGAGCATTCAGAGAAGAGAGACTCTGGGTTTGGAGACTCTGGGTTTAGAAGGTGTGGAATCCAGGACCCCATGCCCAACTCTGCACTTGTTATACCATGGAGTTTCATTTTATAATAACCCGGAGCAGAGGTGTAACTAGATTGCAAGCAGTGCCAGAAGATGATTTAATTCTTGTTAAGTTATTTTTTGTTTGTTTGAGACAATTTCTCTGTATAGCCCTGGCTGTCCTTGAACTCAGAGATCTACCTGCCTCTGCCTCCCAAATGCAGGGATTAAAGGCATGCACCACTACCACCTGGCTTGCAAAGTTATTTTTAAGATAGGGTTTTTTTGTAGCCCATGCTGGGCCTTGAACTTATCTTCCTGCCTCAGCCTACCAAAGTGATGGGATGACAGCTGTGTGCCACCATACCTGGCCCAAGGTCACTTTAGGTCACATAAATGTACAGAGACCCAGCAGCTAAAATTGGTTGTGTCTTGGACAGTTAAGGATACAGTTTTTGCAGAAAACTTGAATTTGGTTCCCAGTACCTATGCTCTGGTTCTGAGGTGTCACTGGCCCATTCCCTACAATCACTGTGAGTCTATTTAAAGAATAGTCAGAGAGAAAGACTGGCAGTCTGTTCCCATGATTTAGTCCAGCCCATCACAGCTAAGCAGAGAAAGAAACACACTAAAAACACTAAAGACAGCAAGAGGGGGCAGGAGCACTCCCTGGTGACGAAGCCACAGGCAAAGCCTCCAGCTCACTAAGCAAAGCCACACACCACGAAAGGATGAAGCCCAGCCTGGCTTTTCTAGAACCCCTGCTTCCGAGGCCAGACCAGCTCAGTACTCCTCTCTTGATGTGCCTCTCTGCCTGAGCACCCAGGGTCTAGACATTCAATGTGGCTGAGACATCAGTCCCAAGGGCCAGGTTGGCATAGCTCCCTGGTTTCAAAGTCATCATTCAGAGAGAAACTAGAGCGACTGACCCTGGACACCTGGTTGTGGGGACAACACACCTGAGCCCATGACACCTACCTTTAACCCATTAGAACCAGTGTACAACCTGATGGCAGTCTGGTTGACAAGACTTGAGCAGATATAACACTTGCCACCAAACCTGACAACCTGAGTCACCCCAGGCACCAACATGGAAGGAGAAAAAGAAAGAGAGAAGCATCAACATGCTCTGGGCTATGTGGGTGACAGCATTCATCTTCCCAGTAACTGAAAAAATGCAAGTAAAATGTGCTAGCACTGTGTTCTGCTCGCCCAGACCACTGACAACCTCCTACCCCAACTTCTGAGCTTCCAGCTGTCTAGTGCTCCTAGAGCTTCCTGCTCTGGGGCTCATGGAGAAAAAGTTCTGAGGACTAGCTGGGCTCAATTTCCCCATTTGTGGGGCAGGAATGGAGACTGGGGTGCTGTTTGGCAGCCATCTGCAGCCTGAGCCTAGCATGTACCTGATGGAGCCCTGGCTGCAGCCCTCTTGACACACAGTGGCAACTGGGCCCAGACAGCTGGAAAGTGCAATAGGTCTGATCCAAGCTGTATCACAGCTTAACTTAGGCCAGAGGTGCTGCACCAAGAGAAGTGAGCTTCACATCAGAGATGTGGTGCCACTATCAGGAGGCACGAACCTGACAGGGGAGGCAAGGGTTCCTGCAACTGCCACAGAGCTATACTTCCCACACTCACAGGGCACTTCTGGAGTGGGGTCCTGTGACACTAGGGCACAGCAGATGCATGGCCACTGTCCTTTTAGGCTGTTTCTTCCTTCCTTCCTTCCTTCCTTCCTTCCTTCCTTCCTTCCTTCCTTCCTTCCTTCCTTCCTTCCTTCCTAATCTTTAAAGACAGCGTCTCACTGTGTAGACCAGGTTGACCTAGAACCCACTACTTGAATGCTGGGACCGAAGGCACAAACCACCACACCCAGACTCCCTTTAGGTTTCTGCCCAAGTCATGGTCACATATCTAAAGACACTATCAGAAGGGTGGACACACACCTGGTGCGACAGAGCAGTCCTGACCCCTGTGGCTTCAATGCTTACCTCTCCTACTCTTAAATATTCTTGCTGTTGTCTCTGCCCTCCTGCCAGCCTCCAACCTCTCTGCAGGCCAGTCCGCAATGAGCCCACTTACCAGAAATGAGGGAGCAGGCAGGCCACGGGGCCTGGGGAGGCTCACAAGGCACCAATACATTTTGGTCCTGAGAGAGACTCACTGTTGCCCTGAGCCTCTTTCCCCAGTCTACAGACTGCTGAGAATATAAGTGTAAACACACCCTGTGTGCTGGAAGCTTCAGGAAAGGGAACCCGGGCAAAGGGAATGTGGGGACGGGTGCCTGTCCTCATTTGGGTGCCCTCTCTGCTCCCAAGCCAACACCTCCTGCCAGGGGTCCTGCCACAAAGACCCAACCTCTGCTCAGACCTCCCCACCAGCCCAGCATATATACAGTTTCATCTGTCCTCTGCCAGGGCCCTTCCAGTCCATCCACATCCAAGGGCACCCTGTGGAGGTGCTCCAGTACCCACTTGTTGCCTGGCTCAGATACTTCCCTGTGACTGCCTCTGTAGCCCTGTGACTGAAGCCCAGTGGCTAAGTCACTTACTGTGTGCGTTCTCATTCTCTTCTCATGGCCGGAACCTCTGTCCATTGTATATGGCCCTTGCTCTCATCCTCACCCCCCAACCAGGAGGTAGGAGGGTGGGCAGGGCACTGTTGACTGAACATGGCCCTCCACAGCACAAAGGCTGAGTTCCTCAGGTACCTGAGCATTGGAGAAGCTCAGGACCACACATACTCTCCTTCTGGCCTTCTGCAGCAACTCCAAACCTGGGCACTCTCTCAATCAGAGAGCATCTGTGCCACCATGGTTTCTGAAACCCATCCCCACCATACACAACCAGCATGCTTGTGCAGGCCTAGTACTGGGCCAGAGGCTGGACCAGCTAGACCCTGTAGGGTCATGAGGAGTGGTGGGACCTCCACACACCTGCCCACTCAGCCTGTGCAGCCTGCTCCTCAGCCTGTTTGCATATCCCATTATCAAGTCCACGGCTGGAAATATTGAAACCCAGCTATGCAGAGCAGGTCACTACTGGAAACAGGCTTCCTTTGTTTTTAGAGGAAGGATCTCACATAGTTTTAACTATGCTATGTAGACTGTCATCCCAGTACTTGGGAGGCCAAGGAAGGACTGAGTCTGAAGCCTGCCTTGTCTCATACAATAAAAACAGGGTGGGGTGCTGGCTTAGCCAGAGGTGAAACCCTGGATTTCACTAAAAACTAGGTATGGTCCTCATGACTGATTCTGGCACAGAGAGGCTGAGTTTGAGGTCAGCCTGGGTTATGTGAGACCCTGTTTCAAACACAAAGAACAGTAAAAAAAATTAAGACCAGGACATTTCTTCTAAGGTATGGAGAGCTGGGAGAGTCTAAAGACATACAAGCATGGACAGAAGGTAATTAGCCAGTTTTGAACCTCTCTCATCTTTTTAATGAAGAGCTCTTTCTCCCCTGGCTTGGGGGATTTTTTTTTTTTTTTTCTGGGAGGGGCAGCCAGGAACCCAGCCGGCCACAACGATGTGAGGCTGTATTGTTTCTTCTGTGCACACAGAGGCGATCAGAGATGAAAAGAGTCTCACACCAAGACTTGCTGCAGCTGAAACCGTTATTTAGAAATTGCGACTGCACTCATGAAACCTGCCTGCAGCAACTGCTGCCTCTTGTTTTCAAAGGAGGAAAACGGTTTTCTCTCGGGTGCCTGTTTTTTGGATGCTTGCTTGCAAACACTCGTGCAGGTGCTGCAGGTCCTTGCCACTTGGAGGCTGGTGTGACCCTGTATTATGCCCAGGGCTTGAGTAATGATGGAAGCCCCCAGCGCCTCGGCTTCCCCGATTGGCACCCTGAGTTATTTTTGGTGGTTGTATTGTTTCAAGGCTGGGTCTAGTTCCTGCTTTTATGTAACCACTTCTGCTAACTCCTTAATCGCTTTCCCTGTTTTCTGAGGTGGAGCTGATCCACCTCAGATCAAGAAATCACTGTCTCAACAAGGTCATGGTGCTTTCGGCTCTTGGGACATGAGTATGGAGAGATGGCTATGGAATGGGAGTCTAAAGACAGTATGAACTACACATGGAGGTCATGTCTCAAAGACAAAACAAGGGACTGTGGAGATGGCTCTGCTCCCAGGCCTGATCACCAAAGTACGATCCCTAAAACTCACATGATGAAAGAACTGACTCCTGACAGTTTCTCTCTGACCTCCACCTGTGTGCCACTAACATATGTACACACAGAAGCAAATAAATGTAGTAAACCAAAACAAAGAAAATAAATAAAACGAAGTTCCTAAATATAGTAACTAATAATAACAGTAATGATAATAAAATAATTATTTGGCCAGGGATGGGGAGTCTCTGAGTTTGAGGCTAGCCACGGACTGGTTCTGAGACAGCCAATGAGACTCCCTTCTCAAAATAATAACAACAAAAAAAGATTCACACGAAAACTTGGCAGGTTGATGCCCAGTAAGGGATGCACAGCAGGCACGGCACCCCTGGCCCAAGACCCTGGCTGCTGCACTAGCTGAGGGGACTGAAGAGGCACAGTAGGCCTTATGTGGAAACCACAGCAGTTTCAACAGCCGCCCGAGTGGTGTACCGAAACCACACACAGCACTGACTTCGGCAAAAACAACATGAACTCCATGGTTTACCACAGCGCACTCTGCTAAAAAAATTACTCAGTGGCCAGCCCCACCCTGGTAGGAATTAAATTTTTCTCTTTCTCGGGTTTCCGAAGGCTGTTTGTCTTCTCAGCACACAGAGCCAGCACACCCAGAGATTACAGGTTAGGAAGGTGCCTGCTTTTCAGGGATTT